ATCCTTAGGACATCTTGGGGAGATCTCGATATCCTCAGAACATCCTTGGGACACCGAAATATCCTCGATGTCCTGAGGATATCCTGAGGATGTTTTGTGCTGTATGGGTGGTGACATTCTGTTAACACCTACATAAACAAGACTATCTCGCAATCACATTTGTGACTTTATTTCCAAATAATTTTATTAATGACAAATTGAAACCACAATCTTTCTACTAAACAGATTTGTAACGTTAGCACTGAAGATGGCTGAATGATCAGCCGAAACGTTTGACATCGACGATGCACTAACGATATTTGTTACTATGGATACTGATACTTCTATCAAACATTGATAACAGATGTCTAATAGACATTTATGATGGATTTATATCGTCATTTATCATAGAAATAATATGAATTTCTAATAGAAACCTATCTAATATCCATTGTAGAGATAGATGTAGTATGGAGTTATGGAGATTATATGGACGTCCATTGGATATTATGTTCCGTGTGGGTATTAATGATGCATTACACTTGTGTATAAAATGCGACATTTTAAAATATTTATATTGTTAAATTTCTCCAATTACTGTTTTTGAAGAATATTTGAAGAACCATCATTAAAGTTTTTTTGCTAATCTAGATCTCATCAAAAACTGAATTAATGTTTTTTTTGTATCTCAATTGTAATAATTGTTTTAATTTAAAATTGTATTACTAAAAAAGTGTTAGTTAAAACTTGTACTTTGACACTTTTACTTTGATAACTATGTGACAGTTTGTATCTTTATTATTATACAAAAAGCAGAAGTGTTTAAAGAAAAATGTAAATTATAAAAGTAAAAATGTAAATTATTATATAATGGGAAAAAATAGCACGCGCTTGTGTAGCCTAGTATTGTTTTAAATTTTAAATAGTACATCTGTCAATATTCTTATGTATTTTACTAACCGCGATTAATCTTCAACTAGTTAATATCGGTTATTTTATATAATACAACAATAGTTTGCTGCTAATATTTCTTATCAACTTTGGTAATTTGTAGAGAAATATAATATCACGATATAATATGTTTACATATAATAATTATGTGAATGTTTTACATGCAGCCTGGAAATACAGAAGTAAGTATGAAAGTCAGATGCACAGAGAGTGGCGAAAATCTTATTGTTAGTATATGCGAAAACTATGATCTCTGATGCAAAATACGCAATAAATCGAAAATAATAATTTTTTATATAAGAATTTATTACCGCGAGAATTGATTTTGAAAATTAGGAAATTAATAACATCTTTGTATTTTTTCCAATTCTAAGCTCTCATAATTTTCTATTACTTTGTATTAAATTTTTCTATGATTTTGTGTCACGTGTTTGCAAAATCTTTTTTCACCTGTCAACAGCTGTCAACAGATAAATAAAAAAGTAAAACAATATCTAGAAAAAGTAATTTTGATAATAGTACATTATTGAAAAAGTTATATGTAAAATATCAAGCTTTTTTTTATTTTTTTATTTATATGTTGTATTTTGCATATATACCTTGATAACTACTGTTTAAACGAATTCCGTGATAAATAATGAAGATTACCCAAATTTAAAAAATTGCAAAAATATTAATTTTTTGGCTTCAAAACTCGAAAATGTAGTCTTATATGTGCCGGTTATTATGAAAGTGGCCTAAGTCATATACTTCTCGTTTCGAGATATTCAAACTTTTGCGTTTGACCATATTAAAAATATTTTTCCATCATGGTGCAAAATTTATCAAAAATTATAATGTTCTCCTGATGTTAAATTTATCTAAGATCATTAAATTTTATGAATAACTTGCACGAAACTGTGTGTTTTTAACCGTTGAATGACTTATGCCACTTTCAAAATTAATAGTAGTCCTAATTGATGATTTACGATAACAAAAAATTAATAAATTTAATTGAAAAAATAACTTAAAAAGAAACAAATTTATTTACTTTTAGAATTGTATTAACTATTTCAATTGTATTAATTATTTTTTAAAATTATTATTTTATCCGTTTCCATTTCTTGCAAACATTATTTCGTAGTACTAAGTTTATGAAACACAACGATCAAAATAACCTCAATTAGTAATTTAATGTTTCGCAAAATTATTACGGCAATTTAATTATATTAAGCATTATTTACATTATTGATATTACATTTATAAATAAATATGAAATATTTTTGTGAAGTTAAATTTACTTGAGCCGCTGTCTGACGACATAATAGAAAAATATGTTGAAAATTATGATAATGTTACTTTTTCTATCGCAATGTTAGAAAAAAATGACTTATGCCACTATCAAAATAAGCATGCAATTACACCTGATAATAATGAAAATGACAACTTCATTTTATTGCTTATTTCATGGTAACTTTGCAAAAATTCTTCCATAATAATGAAATATAGTTGATATAATATAATGCTAAATAAAAATCTCATTTTTTTTTTTTGTGATTTAGGCCACTTTCATAATAACTGGCACATATGTAAGACTTATGTGCGTGCACGCGCACGCGAGTCCGGTTCAGCGGGTATTGAGCAAAAATGAGTAACGCATCATGAGACTGTCAAATGTTACATTTGAGTGAGTCCCAGCTGCGCACAGAATAAATCGGACACACGGTGGTTGGAATCGGACATAGTGACAATTGGACACAATGCCCACAAAAATGGGACACCCTGTATATTACATATTGTTGCATCCCTGTATTCGATCTCGTGGTGTTCGCGATCTTGTATTCCCGTGCTTCGATGTTACATCGCTCATTGCGGTAATATGAAGATTGTCTCCGGGACGCGCATGTTGTTTTATCAAATACGGAGGACATATTAGATTTGGAGAAACCGTCAAGCTGTGCGGAAGTGTGTTTAACGGTTTCCACTCTATTTCTTAATATGGTTGTATTTCTTATGAGAGTGTTCTTGTTATTAAAGTTTTCCTTTTGTTAAAGAGACCCCAACAGCATAAAATATTGCAGTAATATTATTTAGAAAGATTGCAATATTTCTATGTCCGCTAAAATAAAATGTTGCTGCAATATTCTTGCAATATTACGAGAAATATTGCAAATATATTGCTGATATATTATGTAATATTCCTATAGGCAATATTGTAAAATATTGCTTGTTTTCATATTATGTAGTAGTAATTCCTACAGCACAATATGAAAACAAGCAATATTTTACAATATTATAAAGACAAAAAAAAGTTAATTATTTTATTACATGATAATTAATTTTTAAATTTTTATTAAAAATACATTAAAAGTGTAATTATTAAAAGTTACATTAATAACTCAATTTTCCAAGTTATCTTGTTGGGCTACAATGTAGCCGCTACATCATGTTCAACAATTTCCAATTGTTCTATTTGTTGCATCTTGGCCTGAACACGTTTCACACGTGTTGTTGTTTGAGCAAGCCATGTTGAAGCGGCTTCTATTATTTGTACATCAATACATTCCGTATCATACGTACAGTTTCTAAAACAAAAAAGAAAAATTTAGACGATGTCTTTTCTGTAACCTTGCATTTCATGAATAATAAATGTAAAAAATATTAATTATTATTATTGATAGAATACTTACTTATAATTAATTTTGCTGTCAAAAGTTCAGCACAGACTTTTTTCCCTTTTCTTCCATGCCAGCTATATTTTGTGGCAAGTATATCTGCAATTAATTTGCTAAGAATTGCATACGTTGTTAAGTTTACTTTGTCTCCACCAATTATTTTCAAGGACGAACTCTATAAAGTAACATTATTAAATAATAGGATATTTTACGAAAATTTTGAAAATATACAGGGTGTCTGGCAATAATCGCCCCACCGGTCATATACAGGTAGAGGAGGTCAAATCGAGTAGAAAAGTCCTTTACCATTTTTTAATTTTCATAATAAGTACTGAGTAATTAACGAAAAAAGATCGGCGAATCTGCGCGAGTAAAGCGCGCGCGGTGAGAAGGACGTCCCACTGCTACGCGATCACTAGGACACAAGGATCTAGCGTTACGCGCCGCTCGTATGTTGCCATTGTCATTTGTAGAGCGCTCCTCCCAACGCTTCATCGCGCGCCTAGTGATCGCATAGCAGTGGGATGTCCTTCTCGCTGCGCGCGCTTTACTTGCACGGATTCACCAATCTTTTTCGTAATTACTTAGTACTTATTAACAAAAAATCAGAAAAATGGTAAAGGACTTTTCTAACTCGATTTGACCTCCTCTACCTGTATATGACCGGTGGGGCGATTATTGCCAGACACCCTGTATATACATGGGGCATTCTTTCTCAACTTTACACCCATGCTGCCCATTCTCTATTTGATCTAAAAAATTTTGAGAAAATCTTAAAATTTACAGAAAAATGTAAGCTTTCCAATGGCGCGTGGCAAAATTATCAAATTCAATTGGATCATACTTAAAATTTCAGAAAACCGAAAAAAATAATAAAAACGGTAATTATTCAAGTGTAGCGATTATTCATTCGACGTTTTTCTCTTCCAATTAACACTTTCAAGTACTCTGTTTATCTGTGCACTGTCACATAAATCTAAACTAAAATGGCGGATC